TTCGAATTTTGATTATTCCTGGTTCTTGATTGGCTCCTAAACTCAAAATTTGATTATTCCTTTCTCATGATTGGTTGACAAATTGAGTTTTTGATTATCCCCGGCTTTTGGTTGGCTTAAAAATTCAAATTTTGATTATTCCCGGCTTTTGTGATTGGCTCTGAAATTCAATTTTTGAATTTTCCCGGCTCTTGATTGGGTTTAAAATTCAAATTCTAAATATTTGTGGCTCTTTATTGGCTCCGAAATTCAAATTTTGGATATTCCCGACTCATGATTGGTTTAGAAATTGAATTTTTGATTATTACTGGCTTTTGATTGGCTTCAAATTTTGAATATTCCCGGCTCTCAATTGGCTTAAAAATTCAAATTTTGAATATTCCCGGCTCTTGATTGAATTCCAAAATCAATTTTTAAATTTTCCCAACTCCTGATTGAGTTCAAAATTTAGACATTGATTAATCCTAGCTCTTGATTGGCATAGAAATTCAAATTTTGAATATTCCCGGCTCTTGATTGGCTTCCAAAACTAAAATTTAAAATTTCTCGGCTCTTGATTGGCTTCATATTTTGAAGATTCTCGGCTCTTGACTGGCTTAGAAATTCAAATTTTAAATATTCCTAGTTCTTGATTGGCTTCCAAAGTCAATTTTTGAATTTTCCCGGCTTTTGATTGAGTTTAAAAATCAAATTTTGATTATTCTCGGCTCTTGATCGCGTTTAAAATTTGAATTTCTTAGTCAATCAAGAGTCGGGAATATTTAAAATTTGAAGCCAATCAAAAGCCAGGAAAAATTAAAAATTCAATTTCTAAACCAATCATGAGCCGGGAGTATTCAAAATTTAAATTTCAGAACCAATCAAGAGCCAGGAATATTCAAAATTTAAATCTTGAACCCAATCAATAAGAGTCGGGAAAATACAAAAATTGATTTTGGAAGCCAATCAAGAGCCGGGTATATTCAAAATTTGAATTTCAGAGCCAATCAAGAGCCAGGAATAATCAAAATTTGAATTTTAAACCAATCATGAGCCGGGAATGTTTAAAATTTGAAGCCAATCAAGAGACGAGAATAATCAAAAATTCAATTTCTAAACCAATCATGAGCCGGGAATGTTTAAAATTTGAATTTTGAGCTCAATTAAGAGTTGGGAAAATTCAAAAACTGGCTTTGTGTTGCTAGACTTTCGCTAGTGTTGCTACACTTTCGCTCGTGTTGCTACACTTTTTCTTTAAAAAAAAATTTGCTACATAAGTTCATTGAAATGTTGCTGTAAACTTACTAAAAACTACTCCCAACGATTGTGTTGCTACACTTGTTTTTTTCGTGTTGCCTCATAAGAAATTCAACAAACTCCTGCCCTGAGCAAACACTATCCCACAAATGACTTGTTGCTACACAAAAACAAGTGTTGCTACACAAAAACAAGTGTTTCTACACTTTTACTCAAGGCGTATTACTACATGTTTTTTCCTTAGTGTTGCTACATATTTTGATCTTGTGCTGCTACACAAATGAAGTGTTGCTACAAGAATAATTAATTTGAATTTTGCCCCTAACCTACTAACGAGTTGTTGCTACAGCAAATCCAGTCTTGTTACAAAAATATTGCTACACGTAATTCCTAAACTACTCGTCCGATTTCAACGATTCTTGCACGAAATTGAAGCTGATCGATTTACCTCCGACTCGGTAAGATCGATGAGGCTGCTCTTAACCTCGGTAAGGTTCTCCGAGCAACTTTTCTCATTCTCGTCGATACCCTTGTCCTTGTACATCTTGACCTTATCGGTGCTACCGAGATCATCGCCGCCGTCTCCGAATGAGGTGATATATTTGACACAAATAAATCTAATGTGCGCATGATTGAGATACGTTGTGCTAATGATTGAGATACGTTTCCGGATACGGATACGAGGCTAGGCCCGTAACGATACGGACAACGCAATGCAACGAAACCACCGTATCTATTCTGTGCATGCGCAAATCGATGCGGATACGGATACGTTTGAAATTCAGGACCTGCTTGAAGTGTCTATTATATATTACACATAAATAACAGTGATGTTAGTCAGTCAGTTGAATAGCGGAACTGAACTGGTCAGTCAGCCCCATTGACATAGTTCAGCCCTAAATTTATGTAAAAAAATAATGGGTCCATTTTTTTTTTTAAAGTGACATCGTGACATTGACAATTCAAAATTGTAGGTTGAAGTATAAATTAATAGATTTGTTCAGTAATATTAATATATCTTGTAGATTTTTACATTTATTGGGACTGACTGACCAGCACGGTCCCGCTATTCAACTGACTGACTAACATTACTGTTATTTATATGTTAATATGTAATATGTATAACGATTTTCAGCTTTAGTAAATTCGTTGCATTGCCCAAGTTATCTCGAGACCCTAGGTCCTTGTCCCAAGTTTCGCTTGACTGACTGCGGTATGTTTATGTACGTAAATACTGTAATCAACTGTCCAAAAACTAGCTTTAGTAAATTCAGAGATTTTTTTCAGCGTTGGCTCTTAGACTATAAGGATGGCCACTCCTCTTGTGGAGGCTTACAATAATTCTAATGTGGCCTAAGTGCCTTGGCATACCATATATACCACAGTCTCAAACTTACAGATACAGGTGCAAATAGAATCAAAAACAATGAGTCCTGTTTTTGGACGAAGCAAAAGAATCCAAAAAAATTTCAGAAACGAAAGTAGAAGAGTTAGGACGGTTCTGCTTCACTTCAATGTCATTCGTTGCAGATGGCATGTGTCAATAAGAAGAACCCATGTTTGCGTTTCTGCCCCTCGACTCACGATTATAATCCAACACACTAAAAACGCCAAAAAACCAAGTGTAAGAAAGGAGACTTTATCTGAGAAATTACATGATTTGAATGGGGAAGAAGAGCTTTGTTAATGTGAAATTTATGTTCAAAAATACTTCAATCCTATGAAAAAGTCATAAGTAGTGACTCAAGAAGGAAAGAAACCTTGACATTGAACTAAGGGTCCTAAGGGCTACTCCTCTTCCTATAACAAAGGCGATAGGGTTAATCTACGTGGTGTCTGAGATGACGGGCAACTTTTGAACTATTATTTACTCTACCCAATAGAGGAGTTGGACCTGATTTTCTAGGAAACACATTACTAACAATATGCCTATCAGACATCAAAACCTCTACTCCGTCCATATCACCGAACAGCTTAAAGTTTTTCCTCTGAAAAACTTCTGGAGCAGAGCTCAAACCGAAAGGCAGTCGATAAAATTCGTAGCGACCAAATGGTGTGCCAAACGTGGTGCAGTAATCTCAAGATTGATCATCTATCTTGACTTAGAAATAACTATCTTTGTATTATTATGGATATTTTCTTCAGACAGCAAAAGTCCACAGAGCTGGATCTAAGCAACTTGGTAGCTAGCATAGAAGGGCCTCTGAAACATAAGGAAGAATTGCCCTCGCCGCTTTCCCGGACATAGGGAAGGCTTTTAACTATAGATAAGTACTCGTACAATTTACTGATCATTATCTGCTCCCACTTCAAGTGAAGTAGTTACTCAAATAGCACATCTTACTTTCCATCATTCTTACCATCAATCAAAATACAAAAACAAAATCATAAAACTCAAACGCCTGGCTTACTGTCTGTGTTTAGCGTAAAGTAAAATCGCACTAAAAAAACTTACAAAAAAAATTGGATTAAACCGCTCAAGCAAACAAATCAGTAGAGCCGGCCCGCCAAATTTTGCCAGGACTTGGTGCTACTGCGGCTGCGTGTTGCGTATTTTTGTGTTTGTGCAGAAAGTAGAAGTAGTTAGGTACAAACAAGCGGTTTTTTTGTTTTTGTTTTTAGCGGAAGCGTTTTTTTTCATAAAAAAGAAAAGAAAAAAAGAAATGTTATTCAATGTAAAACGATAAAACCCGTGCATATAATGTTTGACTTAACCTTTTTGTGTTTTTTTAAATAATACTTGAGAAATTGGTTTGTTTAATTATTTCGGTGGAATGGGGGTCATTGAACCAGTGAAATCTGAAAATATGCAATGCATTTTTAAGACAGACACAGATGATTATTAATTGTTGGAATAACTAAGATACTCAGGGTATTCCATGTATAGTACACCTTAATTTGAGAGTCTAATATTCGAAAGAAAAAGGAAAAATGATATCAAAAATCCCTAAATCTAAACACTGCCAAAAAGGTATCACATGGAATACGCTGCACACATCAAATGCCTTCAAATGAAAGACAATATTATGTTTGAATTATGTTAATGGATTTAGGGCTTGCAATATAATAACCAATATCAAAACCCATATAATACTTTAAATAAAATTTATTAATCACATCTATCTATAGTTTGGACCCTTTGTAGTATAACAATTTTAATTTTATATATGCTCTTTTGTATTGCATAGAATAGAAACAGGGAATAGGAAAATATGAATCTCTATGTTAAACACTAATTTAAATATTTATTTGTATCCTACAAAAGATAAATGCCAGCTAATTAAGTATTTGAAAAATTTTCAAAGTGGTGTTTCTTTATAAATTTTTGTTTATTTTTTATTATAGAATTATCGTTTCTATTCCAAGATTTGTTATGAGTTTTTGTCTATAATTTCTTCAATACAATGACTGTGATAATTTTATTCTAAGAGTGGAAAATTTTATTGAATCGTGTGAAATTATGAAAATAAAATTGTTTGTAAAACGTTAACGTAAAAGAATGAGTAAAATTTAGTAAGACGTCGATGAATAATCATAGCTAAATTAAACACAAACATAATATATCAAATGCAATAAAGCCCATAATAAAAATTACAAAAAAATAAATAAAATAATGCAATAACAAATATAAATGAAATATCAATTGAATTAATTGGTTCATGCATTCAAAGAGTGTGTATATTCTCATAAAAACGATAGTGATTCTAGAGAGTCTACAGAATCCCAACTTTGCAATCCTATATATCTAACAGCTGCGTGACTACCTCTAGAATCATGATGCATTCCGTATACGTCATGGTGCGCTAGAAAAGAAACGGTTAGTTGTTAGGCGGTTAGAATTCAGTTAGTGATGATGGAAGAATGTCAAAATTATTCAGTTAAAAAAATAACCTTTTCGCTCACAAAACTCATGTTGTTGGTGCCCGATTATTCTTGTTTGGAAATTGAGGTTTTCTCCTTATTGACTATTATTGACTGTGTAACGATTCAGAAAAAAAGAGCAATAATTTATTAATCTACAGGGACTCGAAATGCAAAGAGTTTTCTGGGGTTTTAGAAATTTATGTGAAATTGGCAACCAGGCACAAGAGGTGGAAGGAAACTCACAACTGATAAGTTACTATTTTCAAGACTTGCCAAAAACAGCGCCTGGCAACATCAATCCTCAGAGGCTCAATATTTTTGAAAACGAGCTTACAAAAAGTGATATTGCGATCGCTGGCCTGTCTGAGACTCATTATAGGGACACTTCACTTCCAGCCATAGGCGCCGCCAGGATTAGTTTCAGGGGGGTGCATACAGGCAATGGCGGCGCGTGGATTGTTATATTGGTCCAAATTACTAATTTAAGAAGTTGAATAAATGCCCGAAAATTTTTCCGGGTGCCACGCCCAAAAATGGTTATTTTGAGCTTTCAAAAAAATAAATTTTTCTTGGTGATTGGGAAAGTTATATGATTGTTAGAAAGTTTTTTTTTCAGGTAATGACCAACGTGAATTCAGGGACACCAGTCCCTGTTTGGGAATCGAACCACTGAGCAGTGGACTCAGGCTTCCCGTGCCAATCCTTGACGCGTTTCGTCCTTGTTAGGACTCATCAGAAGGACATAGGCTGAAGCTCCCTGTCCAAGCAAAATTGAACTAAGTAGTTGTTGTTAAGAATTTATGTAAGCTTAGTTTCTCATTAGGAGATAGCGCTCTATATTTTAGATACGATTTTAATAATGTGCAACCTGCTAATATTGCAATGACATGAAATGTGTGTTCTGTCAACTTTGTCAATATTGTTGGTTGTTCTCTTCAATTGTTACCGAATTGTTAATAATAAATACGTTGTTTAAAGTCGTCGGATCTGGGATTTTATTAATATAAAATAACAGATTTCTGTCCTTTTGACTGTTGCCTTTCAAGTTTCTGTCAAATAACTTGCCATCTCTCGGCTGAAGTTTCGTTTTGCGGCAAAAGCATTTCCACTTTTACCACCTGTGGCGTCATCTGTGCACATGTCCAGTAACTTCGTCTTTATGAAATCAGTAGTAATCTTCATACCAGAGTGCTCCACTGCCATGATCATGAGGGCAAACCTTTCCTGGGAGACCGTCCAAAAGCAGGGAACCGATCCACTCCTCGTCGATGTTGAAACCTGTCTTTTTCAGTCTCTGAGACGTTTCAACGACTTGGTTTACATAACTTTCCATGCTTTCACAGTTTTCCAAACGGAGGGATATTAACGTGCGCAGGATCTTGAATCGTGGTACAAAGCTTTAGTTCATCAGAATTTTAGGAGATACATAAAAAATATATTAATTCAAAAATAATTGAAAAATGAACTTGTAACTCTTGCGTACAAGACAAACAATGTAGGAAACCGTTCAGTATTAATGAACGCAGGGCAGAAGAACCTGACGGTATAATTCATTAGGATCTATGCGGCCCTATGAAAGAACTATCCTTAAATAATTCCCGTTACATTTTTTTTTTATTGAAGGACGATTTCAGCAAATAGGTACCTATAGATTTGTTTACTTTACCAAAAATAAGAGTGATGTTTATGAAATTTTGAGGAAATTTTTAATATATTTTCAAAATCAAACAAGAAAAAAGTTCAAGGCGATGAGAAGTGATAATGGTACAGAGTTTATAAACTCTTTCATAGATAAGTTATGTCAAAGTAATGGTACTTATAAAGTATGAATTGACTGTACCAGACACTCCCTAGCACAGAGTTCTGAACAATAATGGAAGCAGTGGGAGCAATGTTTGCTGAGAGCAAGTTATCCAAACCAAAACATTCTAGATGGAGGCCACAAATACTGCTGTCTTCTTACTGAATCGCACTGGAACTAGCCCTGTTGAAGGTAAGACACCTTATGAGCTGTTATTTCAGAGATCTTTTAATATTATCATGGTAAAAGGTATATTAGGAATAGGTGGATAGGTATATATACCTAGTGAAAAAAAGAAAAAAGCTCGATATGAAAAGTAAAAGGGTATTCTGATAATGTTAAGGGATACAAAGTTTATTATGGAAAAGAAAACAAGGTTGCTATAGAAAGGGAGATAACATTTAATGCAAAAGAAGAACCTTCAGAAGAAAAGTTTGTTTCTTAAAACCTAGATAATTAAGGCAGAAAGAAATAATGACGAAGAGTTTATTGAAAACATGGTGGAGGAGCTACACGATGAACTTGATGTAAATAATATGGAAACTGAAGAACCACTATTGAGGCAAACAATTATTGAAACACCCGAGAGAAAAAGAGATGAGAGATTAAGACCTTCTAGAGCACTATATAGATGAAGAAATGAGGGCTCTACTCTAAATGAAATGGGTCTTAAGTTACAAAAAATAAAGAGGGTAATATAATTGAATTTAAATGCGGGTTAGAAGCAAGGGATTTTAAGCAATATATTCTGGAAGATGTGTATAGAAAAATTTTCCCTTAATGTTCCAGACCTAACCTGGAAATATTTTTTAAAGTTTTTTCAATATAATTCCTAATTTGAGATACCTCATGGGTTCCTATTTTGAGAGTATCTCAGATTTGGACCCGGAAACATCTAATACCATTTAGGTTTTTCTGACTTTTAGATGCCACCTAAACACAAAAAATGGAATCCCAACGATATGATAAAAGCAATTAATGCCGTAAGGAATAAACAAATGGGCTATTTGAAAGCGTCCAAAGTTTTTGGAGTGCCTAAAGGAACCGTGGAAAGGTACGCAAAATCAAATAAAAGTCCAGAAGAACTTGTTGGGTTGTCGATTTGTCGTAAGCCAGTTCTCTCCCCAGAGCTCGAAAATGAGTTAGTTCAGTATGCCTTATCAATGGAAGAGCGCTTTTTTGGCTTAAGGGCACGCGATGTAAAACGACTGGCATTCCAACTTGCTATCAGAAATAACTCACCCCACCCTTTCAATAGGGTGAAGAAATCAGCAGGAAAAAAGTGGTTGCGCTTATTTTTTAAAAGACACCCACAACTTTCGATGCGAACGCCTCAAGGCATGTCGGCTGCTCGAATTAAAGGCTTCACTGCTGAAAATGCATCAGCTTTTTTCGACCTTTACGAACCCGAGTATAATAAACTTCAAGATCCGTTTCAAAGAGTCTTCAAAGTGGATGAAACAGGCATAACAGTGGTTCAACATAAGCACAGCAAGGTTATTTCTTTGAGAGGCAAAAAACAAGTTTCCTCCCTGACTTCAGCAGAGAGGGGCAAGTTGACTACGGTTGTTACTTGTATGAACGCTGCGGGAGTTTACGTACCTCCATTATTTATATGAAGGCAGAATTGATGATGGGGGCCCCTTCAGGTGCAGTTGCAGAATGTCATATATCTGGTTGGGTACAAACAGATATTTTCACGAGATGGTTTGAACATTTTATCAATTTCACGAAACCTACCGCTACCGATCCAGTTCTGCTTGTACTGGATGGGCACTATTCCCATACTAGGAACATTGAACTTATAGACTTGGCCAAAAAAAATCACGTGACACTCATATGCCTTCCACCACACTCAACCAATAAAATGCAGCCATTAAATGTCGCCCTTGAAGACGTATTATGCACAGGAAATAGAAAATTGGCTTCGGGAAAATCAACTTAGTACAGTTTCACCATACGCAGTTGCTGGTATTTTTGGCAAGGCCTATAACAGAGCTGCTGCAATGGAGACATCTTGCAACGGATTTCGAAAAACAGGACTCGTTCCCCTCAATCGAAATATATTTAGGGATCATGATTTTCGTGTACATCAAGTTGAACATGTTACAGCAGGTAATCCCACCATCCAAGGTCACGAAACTGAGGAGCTAGCTCAAGAAAATTTAACAGATTCAACTAATTTAGCAGAACCTGATGTAGAAATTGCGGAAGAAGAGCAAATGAATCACACCGGTCGCCTTTCAACTGCCTCAAGTAACAAAGAGAATGATCAGATCGTCGACAAGGTTTCTGTATTAACTCGGGAGCAGCGCACCCCAAGTCCGGTTTCAGCAACTTATAAAAATATTCTTGTTTCTCCTGCGGATATTTGTCCGTTACCTACGTACAAAAGCACTACAAAAGTAAACTGTACAACTGAAAAAGCGGCAATTATTACATTGACTCCTTATAAAGATGACCTACAAGAGAGCTCAGAAAAAAGAAAGAAGAAGCCAGTACCCAAGAGAAACCTAGGATCTGCTTTAGAACCAAAGTCTTCTTCTGAACAACAAAACTTACAAAAGAGATCAAATAAAACTCAACCGAATAAGGATAAAATAAAATCTACGGAATCCGATATTAACCAACCGTCTTCATCAGGTATTAAAAACCTAAAAATAAAATCAAAGCGTAAGCGTGCTGACTGCAGTTCAAGCTCAGACAGTGCTGAAAGTGTTGAATTTAAGGATTCTTCTTCAGACGAAAGCGGTGGCAGCGACGCTGAGTGCTTATTTTGTATGGGTCGGTACCTACTCAGAAGATAAACATAGGGAAAATGGGCAAAATGCAACCAGTGTGGTAGATGGGCAAATGAAGACTGTGGCGAGATAAAAAGTGACACTTTTATTTGTTCTTTTTGCGAAGGAAGTGGGTTTTTTGAGTAGTATCTCAAATTAGGCATGTGTCTCAAATTTGGACCCCCACATGTCTCAAATTAGGAATCCTCTTTTTGTTTTTAAAAAATGTACTTTGTTTTTAAAACGGCGTTATTTTTAGAAAGGATAAAATTAATTTTATTTTTTTCATTACCAAAGAATTGGACAAAGGTTATGGTAAGTTATTTTCCAGGAAATACACTATTATTTCATTGTTATGATTTTTTTTGGATTTAAAAAAAAAAAAACTCAAATTTTGGCCCTTTCCTCTATACATAAAAGTGATAAGAGCTGTAATTTTCTAATGTAATCATTTTTGTAGATGACATTTTAATTTCTGGGTCTTGTGTTAAGGAAGTTGACAAGTTGAAATTAAATTTAAATATGTCTCTCAAGATGAAAGATTCAGGCTGGTTAAGTTATTTATTAGGTATATCTGTAGAGCAAGACATAGAAAATGGCAAAATTGTATTAACTCAAAAACAATATTTAGAAAATATTCTCACAAAATTTGGTATGCTAGATTGCAAACCTGTCGCACGTCAATGGATTGGAATTTTACCTGATTGTTTAAAAGCTAAAAAATCAGAGAGTTTTGATATTGAAAATACTTAAATGTAGGCAAATCATTGGTATGTTAGGGACTCGGCCTGACTTATGTTCAAGCATAGTTTAGGTAGATACCTATCAAAACTGTGCAAGTGAAAAATTAAGCGTCTCAAAAAGCGTATTGAGATAGATATATTGAAGGTTCATTTGAACTTGAATTGGTATTTTCCAAGAAAAATACTGATATTATCTGACGATATTATATCAGGGTTTTTCGATGCAGATTGAGGTGGCGATATTACTGATAGAAAGTCTTTGATAAGTGGTTTTTGTCTAAATTTTTTTGTTAGAGTTAGAATTAGTTAAAGAGTTGAAAGTTATCATTTATGAAGACAATCAGTCTGCAATATGTTCCTGTAGTTTTCATGAACAATTATTATTAAAAAGAATCAAACACTTGGACATTAAATGCCATTTTGGAGATATCTTCCTAGCAGTGAACAAATTGCAGACATACTTATCAATAATAGAGTAGGTACCTATGTCTCATTTGAAAAATTGAGAAGCGTTGCTTCATGCTTAATTGAGTTTTTGTTGTTTTTCACTACCTATCTGTGTTTCATTACTACCACCAACTTCCTCCAAAACTCTCTAGTCTGTATCTGCTTACTCTAAGGCATTTGACAATGTGAAGTAGTGTACGCTATGGGAAATTCTTTCGTCCATGGGAATTCCTCACCACCTGGTATTTCTCATACAACAGCTCTATGTGTTCAATACAGCTCAAAAAAGAATTGACAAGAACATGTTCGATTAGACTACAACAAGAAAAAGAAATCGCTAGTGTGTCGCTAGTGTGCCGATGTTGTTTAACATCTATTTCGAATTTGTGGTGAGACAGCCAGGTACTGGACGGTTGGCTCGGTGGCGTAATTCTTGGTGGAATCAAGATATCTAATTTAAGGTTTGCCGTCAATACTACTCTTATTGTTTTCTTCTCAGGGTGAATTGTTAAGCTTACTCTACTTAACATCTTAGAACAACATAGTGTAGCATGTGGTTTAACGATCAACTACAATAAGACCAAGGTTAAGATTGATGATGACAATCATCCTAAAATAACATCCAGTATGCCGTTGTCAGATAGTCCAGAATTTTGTATATCTTGGTTCTTTGATCGACACTAGTGGCTGCGAGGTTGAAATCTGTCAGCTCTGTCAACAAGCACGGGCAGCCATGACAAGACAAAGGCCCATCCTCAATCAATCTGGTAGCGAAGTGGCACTCTGGCACGCATTCTAGCACAATGTTGTTTAACGTTGGCATCCTCAATTCAATTTCGTGCTAGCATGCACGCCGACTCCAAAGTGCAAGCTTGCAAGCTTTTTCGATGCGTGACAACTTGTGTCATGCGCAGTACATTACCCGTACGTTCGGTTTTTGGATCTGAGTTTCCCGATCATGAATTCACCGTTCGTTTATTCAAAAAGTGTACTCGGTGCAAGCTCGTTCACGTTCGTTTATTGAAATTTCGATCCCTCTGATACAGCGATTAGCTGCTTTGTGCGCTCGTTGTTCACGTGAATACGGCTCCACTCTGCACGCTCTGCTCTTCGAGCAAAATACCGAACGTAAGGTAAATTTCTACCATTAGGTACATAAATTGACAGCATTGAGGATGGGTATCAATTTTCCAGCACGCGTGCCGAAGTGCCACTCCGCTACCAAATTGATTGAGGATGTAGCTTAACTAAAACATGGCGTGACAATAATATCACGAAAGCCACCAAAATGTCACTTGGGGATGTTTTGTAGTCACTTGTCCGGTCTCTTGTCTTTTCCATATTTTTGTATGGCTCTGAGACTTTAACTTGTTGTCCAGGGTCGTGCCCCGAAAGGACGGAGACGTGCCCGTTCTCCTACTCGCTGGGTGGATGCAAGAAAATAATAATCGCTAGATGTTAGTGTCACAAGAGCGACCGAATTGACAAATAATCGCGAAATGCGGTTCTCACTAATTTGAGTTGAATGTGATGCAGTGGAAATAGAGGGAAAGTAGAATAAAGTAGAAAATGTGGAAAATCCGGTCATTATGTATGTACTGTAAAATCTTGAGCGAAAAGGTTATAATATGACTTTTTTAATTTGTTAATATCTTATACAAACAGAAGATATACTTCAGATATGCCGTTCTAAGAATACTCCTGTAATAGTAATTTTCTATTGGGCTTTTTAGTTCTAATTGATTTCAATTTGAATAAAACTTCTACTATGGTTAGTACTTTTGAAGCAGAATAGTAATGAGCAGTTTGAGTGAATATTATGGTGAAGTGATCGAGAGAAATATTACCCTCTAAAAAAAAAAGTGTAGATATTTTATAAAACCGCCAAAATTTATCTAGAAGTCATGCAAATTCATTTTACCTGGTAAAGTTGGTCTGCCTTGGTCACCACTAGGCGATGCCTGTGGCGATGAAGCTATCGCTCTTTGTACATTAGGTATTTCAGGGTGTGTGGCTCGCCAATAAGCCTAAATACACCTATTAAATTCCCGATATTAGATTTATATTTTGTAGCTTACCTCTAGATACTCTGCTATATGTTCACAAGCGTCTTCTAATTGATTTTCATCTAGGATGACATCGAACATTTCTGGAGGACATTGAGCTAGTTTTTCAGCTGCTACCATTTGAACGTTCAAATGTCTTGCTTGGCTCTTCCCTCTTGATTTTATTAATCTTTGTAAAACCTAAAAGCAAATAAATTAGGAAATTCCGTGACACATCAACTAGCAAATTTACTAACCTTAGGACTAGTAATTTTAAGATAAACAATACAAGGAGCTAGAGACGTTTTGGCAAGCTGTGAAGGATGGTTTATTGTATCACAATCGAGGACCACAAGTTGCATGGTTGTGGCCAGTTCAAATATCCGCTCGATTTCGGCTTGGACCTCGTTGAGACACGTCGAACGAGTGGCGGATCGCTCCATTATCGCCCTCTTGGAAGGGTTGTTGAGTAATGATCGTTTGGCTAGGGATATATCGGCCATAACCCTGGTTATAATTATTCTGAAATTTAAAAAAAAGGATTTTTAATTTTAATACTCAATTATTGTGATTTAATAGGGATGAAGAACGACAAAAAGTCTAACAATATTGCTGGTGGCATCCGAACGCGAATCTTTGAAGTAAAAGAATTTGATAGAAACAAAATAACATGTTGTCTAATCTTGGAAAGCAGCCAAAATTAGCCATAAACAATATATAGGATTTATTTTAGAATTAATTAAATGGACCAGTTTGGAATTATTGACCTGCATTGACGCAACCATTTTTATACAAACAATATTACATTCTTGTTATTAATTGACTGAGTTTGGAAATACTAACCAAATTGCAGCAATCTTGATCGACCCAATAACGCTTATACAAACCTCTCCTGGTGGAAAAAAAGCACAAATGCATCGGTTAACAAACTGCAGAATCATCACATAGTTCCAAATTACGTATTCTATTTATCACTAATTTTATGTACAAATAATGGCTCATTTCAATTAATAAATCAGTATAAAGCCTTTTCTGGTGTATTACTCACATACCACACAACACCCAAGCCTATGGCCAGAGTGTAAGGCTGCACTCTATGCACGACACCCTTCACAGATGTCACCTCTAGCAGGGCACTGTGAATATACCTAGTGACAAGAAGGTAACCTTAGTCGAGAGGGGCCCTATTGTCAAAAATTACTAGGAGGTTATTCCCATATCAAAAGGGAATCTTTTTTCATGGTCCTTTGAGCAAAAAGTCGAATAGAAGAAAAGTATCACTCCCTCGGAAGAAGGTAGTTACAGTGAAATTACCAGCAAACGGTTCAATCAGCCACCGACAACAACTGCCCAATCAACGAGACACCGACAAATCACGTGCACCAGCCACTGCCGTCCATCCTCAACTTCAAAAGACCTTCAAGTTCAATCCAACTTCATCTCCAAATCACAACGAGCAGGCAAACCGTCATCGTTAGTGGATGGAGTCAACCAATCGGTCACCGCCGTCCAAAAACAAGTAAACTTCAATTCCAGCCTCAAGTCTCACCTTCAGCCTCAAATCTCAATTCTAACAAGCAGACAATCCGTCACTATCAATACAACCGGTTTCACGAAACAAGTGCACCAGATGACAGCCCAGAACATATACACAAGTTCGTAGAAAAAAAAAAGCAACTCGACGCAACTTCAGCGCAATGTCTACCATAGGCGAAGAAATGGAGCGCCTTGCGCTGGAACAGCAACGACACGGGCGAGATATACAACGTATGCTGACAAAAATGAAGAAAGATTCATCAAGCCAATACTTCGATGAAAAAGCCAAATCGGTGGAATCGTTATGGACCACAAGCCATGAGAAACACAAGAAGATCAACGAATTGAGTTGCTTCACCCAATTACCACACCGCGAACTACATTGAACAACTCAAGGAAGTCTATACTGACACAGTAGACTACATAGAAGACGGTATAAAAAAAGTCGAAACCCAAACAAAACAAAGCGAGATGACATCAAAACTAACACCAGATGGAAGAAGTCCTCAACGACTGTTGCAGAAATGGATGATCACACCCCATTCAACCGCAGTCAGCAGTTCTAATGCAAGATAACCGCGAAATTCAAGCAGATTTCGGACCTATACCTACAACTCGAAATTCAATCCCTCCATAAACCTTACAAGCTCGCATACAAGGCACTTGAGAAACAATACGAGCAGATACTGCTAAAGCTATAACGGACTGAATCTACAAGCAATCATCCACCCACACCAACATCGCCACAAGTCATGTCTACTGTCATTATCCAACAACCAAGTACAAACAACATATCACTGCCTCAAGTGAAACTGTCAATGTTTGATGGATTATATGAAGAATGGTCCACGTTCAAGAACATTTTCACGAAAATTGTTCATGAGAATGGTGACCTCACCGACATTGAAATAATAGAGACGCACGTACGAGGTGAAGCCAGTAGTCATTCAACATCTACAGATAAACAGTGACAACTACATTGCAAGCAGGAACATTTTCGAGAGAAGAGATTAATCATCAACAAGCTGATTGATAAGATCTTGGAAACACCATCAATTACTCACGATTCAACGTACAAGCTGAAGATACTGTATGATACAATGATAGAATGTGTAGAAGCGCTCAACAGCATGAAGGTAGACACCAAATCGTGGGGACCGCTAATCTCAAGACTAATCTGCCGCAAATAGGACTCCGAGACAAATCGAATATTCGAAAGATTTCAATCCCTTGAAGCCTGTGTACAAGGTAAAAAAAAGTCCAGCGAGCAAACCCACATTACAACTGAAAGCTGCGGATACTGCAACGAGCCTAACCACAGCACTTACAGCTATCAGAAGTTTCAAGCATTAACTCCATCTGCAAGATTTAAAGTCATCAAGGAGAAGAAGCTCTGTATAAACTGCCTGAGACACCCAGCGCACATAAGAAGTAATTCAACCCTCGTATGTCACACCTGCAAGAAATTCCACCATACAATGGTACATGTAGACGTTAACGAACAGAGAAACCAGAACAGAGCCAGAAGCCTCCAGCAACCAAAGAACAGAAACGTCCAACCAAATCAGAAACCCCGTAGAGACACAAGGCAGTTCTCAACGAATCACCTTGGGAGACACAACGAATTGGTCCTGTTGGTAACAGCAGTCATCAAAATCCACAATAACCAAGGGATAGTTGAAAATTTACGTGTGGTAATAGATCCAGGCTCTCAATCCACATTCATAACTGAAGAAGCTGCTTCATTACTATCCATAACACGTCAGCGCATAAGAGCCGACGTATCCGAACTTGGAAGCGCAGAACCTCAAGTGGCAAAATAGATGGTAGAAATAAACGTCAAGCCAAGATTCCCGAGCAGTTTCTCAATGGAAATTCTATGTATTGTTCTACCCAAACTGACAAGAACGCTATCAAGTGAAGAAATCGCCGTAAACATCGACCACTGGAAAAAAGATGTACTTGCTGACCCTACATTCTACCGATCAGGGCCAATCGACATCATATTGGGGGCAAAGGAATATGGAGAAATAATTCGAACGGGCTTTCGAGAAACAGAAGATGGACTACTCGGATAGCACACCGAACTTGGGTGGATTCAACATTCTACGACATGAAAGAAAAAATATGCAAGTTGTCAGTCTAATAACGTACATTGAGGAAGATCAGCAGTAATAGAAATTCTGGGAACTAGAAGAAGTAGCCCAAAGCAGGCTAACCACTGAAGAAGAGAAATTCTGCGAAAACCATTATTAAATCAATACGAGCAGAAGCAGCGACTGTAAGTTCACAGTGAAGATTTCATTTAACGATAAACTACAACAACTAGGGATCTAACGATCACGTGCAGCCGCACGGCTACTGCAACTGGAGAAGCGATTTTCAAAAGATCCTGAACTTGAAGAAAAATACATTCAATTCAGGGAAGAAAACATGAAACTCAATCATATGAGAACATGCCCGCAACTAAGCAGTAGCCCATACTATATTCCTTACCAGCCTGTAATAAAAGAATCTAGCACGACAACAATATTGAGTGTAGTATTTGATGCTTCAAGCAAAACTTCAAGTGGAATCAGTTGCGTGGTGGACCCACAGCCTACAGCCTACATAACGAACGACAACGGAACACGAGTCATAGATTTAGCGTCGTCAGACGCATTAAGGGCGAAGTCAACCATGTTCCAACACAAAAGCATACACAAACAAACGTGGATTTCGAATGACGGTGTTACTAGAAATCAGATAGATCATGTTCTGGTAAACTTGAGATGTGGCAACGGTATAATAGACGTGAGAAGCTACACACGAGCTGAAGCAGACTCCGATCATATGCTGGTAGTGGCAAAAGTAAGTGCCCGCATATCTTTAATCATAAACAAGAAATTCAAATTAGAGGCACAATACGACACAAATAAATTTAGAGACCCACAGATATGCCTAGCTTACAAGGAAAAAATCTCGTAGAGCCATCGAAGAATACCTGAAACTGTTAGTATTTGTTAATGTTAAGGTATCACATGTTCTGTGGGTATCAAACAAAATGTACAGTTGCTATATAAATAGTTCGTATTACCATTGTTAGAAAAGTCATGTCATGTATTGAGTCTGTCAATTTGTTAATAAAAGTTTAGTCCGTTTGGTCAGTCGTTTTGCAGATTATCCGAAAGGAAACCACGCCACGCTTTATTTCCACAAAGTGAATAACAAATTTAATAGGTTACGGTCCCAGAGTGGTAATTCGGGTGCAAAATGGCTACGGGCAGTATTATAGCAAGTGTTCCCAAGTTACGCGGTCGTGAAAACTATGAAGAATGGTCGTTCGCTGCTGAGAATTTCCTGATTCTCGATGGTTTGAAAAAATGCATTGAGGGAAGAGAATCGGCCGACGCAAAAGTGGTACAAGCAAGAGCAAAATTGATTTTGACAATCGATTCTACCTTATTCATCCACATAAAGGATACCTTGACCAGCAAAAGAGCTTTGGGATAAATTAAAAAAGCTCTATGATGATGCTGGATTTGCGAGAAGGATATCATTATTGAGATCGCTGATTTCGGCGCGATTGGAAAACATGGATAACATGGCGGTATATGTTAATCATGTTATTGATACATCACAGAGGCTAAGGGGGAGAGGATTCAAAATTGATGATGAATGGATTGGATCGTTGCTCCTAGCGGGTCTTCCAGATAAATATTACGCAATGATTATGGCTATGAAACATAGTGGAATCCAAATTACAGCTGATGCCATAAAGACCAAATTGCTAGAGATGGAAGCTGATGATAATACAGGTAATGCATTAATCGGCAAATTTGTTTCCAAAGGAAAGAAGAAGTTTGACAACAGGACCAGTGGAAGAAAAGCGTCAAACCAGTCACTGTCACAATCAAGTTCGCATGACAATTCAATCAAAACAATTCAATGTTATAATTGTAAGCAAATGGGGCACTACAAGAGCCAATGTCCTCATTTGAAGTCAA